CTCTCTCTCTCCTGCCCTCTCTCCCCTTCTCTTTTTTCATCTCACTGTCTCTCTCAGACACACATACACCCACATGCACACGAATGTGCAAGCACACACAGACACATGCGCACAAGCACACACAGAGACACACACCCATTTTCTCTCAGTCTCATTCTCTCTCTCCCTGGAACACACACACATTTTCTCTCTTGCTTGCTGCACTCAGTAACACACAGCAGACATATACTAGTATGTATATATATATATATATATACATATATATATATATATAGAGAGAGAGAGAGAGACAGACACACACACGTACATACATACATACATACACACACACACACACACACCTCCCCCTCTTCCACAGGCATCCTGGCTGCCACTCCTTCCCTAACAACCACACAACACACACACATACACAAATGAAAAGATGCACATACACATACACACACACACACGTTTGCATAAACACATATAAACAAACACATACACACACCCTCGTCCAAACACACACTCCACCCGTTTTGCTGAAATGCATATCCTGTCTTTTCTTACAGTCAAACACGCACTCACACGATCAATAATGTTGAAACTCTCAAACATGTAAAATAACAGATGTCATTCATCACGTTAATTTTTCTTACTTAGACACACAAACACACTGCTCTCCACCAACATTTGGGAGCCAATCTGTTTTCAAGTAACACAATTACAACTCAAATTATAGCCAGGATCAATTTATTTCAACCCACTCATACACCCTCAGAAATCCAATCACCAACATTAGGGAAAAAACAAAAAACAAACAAAAAAAAGTTTTTACACCAAACCAAAGTTTCAGAAAAAACATAAAAGCCTGTACATCAATTTGATTTAATGTTCACAATGTATCAAAGTAAATGGTATATGTTTTTTAATGTATGTTTTATTGTGATTTGATCTTCAACTGGAAACACTAAAACAAAGATAATATGACGATTCTGCCTGTCAGTTTAGAGCAAGAAACAAAGGTCCCTGTCGCCATTTTGAATCATAATACAGTTGCTCTGGTGCAGGTTCTGGGCTAAATTGTTTGGACATAAAATTGTGTGTAAATGCTGTGAGTTACCTCTGCTCTAGTTTGAATAAAACACTGGCTACATTTCCAGTAAAAGCAAACTCAAGATTATAGCGTTCTTACATGTGACAGTTTTGAGTACAGTTTGCAAACCAATCATGAGAAGCTTAGAGAGCTTTGATCACAGAGGACATTTTGAAGCAGCAGGTTTGACTCAGTAGACGGACACTTCTCCAAGCTATGTAAGCTACTTTTGGAAAACTGGCAAGAAATTGGTCCAAAGCTGAAATTAGAGAACATTCCCTCCACACTGAGTACAAGCCAGCGAGCATTTTGCAGTAAACTGTGTCTCACCTCACACACAGTGTCTGTAACTTGAAACACTGAGGAGCTCGAACAACGAGTGGAGCTGCTGATTAGCATCCCTGCAGAAAATTAAGTTGCAAAGATCAGTTCCTTCTTTCGAGCCCCTCTCCGGTCAGAAATGTGTTGGTCAAGTTACTTGTTCTTGATATTTGAGCTTCACTCTGCAGAATGTTGCACCTTCAGAGTTTGACGCTAAAGTCTCAAACATCTGCTGGAAGTGGAAACTTGAGTTTAAAGCATTTTCTTGCAAGGAGGATTTGTGACATCACAAGTAATTTACACGCCATTCCTGCTCTGATAGGCAACTTACACATGTGTGATGTAAAATAAACCCAAACAAACCAACAAAAACGGATTGTTTGCACACTGAGAACAGACTTTAACTGATGGAGACACCTTGTGCCAAGTAGGTAAACCTTCAAAACGAAAAATAATTACACATTCATAAATTCGGTGTTTTTTTTTAATGACAGAAAAGGCACATGTCAGTTAAAGAACCAGGTAACTGTTTTATGGAAAATATGAAAAACATTGTTATTCACAAACTTTTAAACAGGCCTGGTTGGAATTTTTCAACAAAATGCTAACACGGGGAAAATGTATGACATTTTTTCTCCCCTGTGAGTGAATTTATTTTTATTTGACCCTTTTTGGGCAAAACAAATTATTTAAATAGGTCCTCATGAGCCGTAGTAAACTGTGATTAGCATTTTTACTATTTGTTGACATTAGACCAAGCAGTTAATCAATCAACTAAGAAAATCAATAGTGAAAAATAATGATAAAACTGTCATTAATTGCAGGTCTCCTATGTTGCAGTATTCTATTCATAAACACACTTTCATATGACAACAGAGTCAACATGAAATGTTTCCATAACAGAGGCCTGCTAAAGGTTTGACAGTCATAAAGCCAGAACTTCAACACAATACATCAACCCTGCACTCTTGTAGATCAAACATGTAAAGAAGACATCATAGATTCCATTCCAAAAGCCAGATTCAATCTGGGACACCAAGGAGACTTTTTGACTACAGTGATGTGGGGAAATATAAAGAAGCCCAAAGCAAAATTAGATCTAGCTTTGATGACTGGTCTCTCTGGTGTTAACATTTTATCAAGGGACAAAACTGTATCCAGCAAGACAAATGTTGCACAGATAAAGCACCATTTACGGGACGGGGATTATTGCTGCTTGACCATAAACGCCAACGATAAAGATAAATGGCAGTAACACTGACACAATTCATAGGTAAATCAAAACATTTGGTTGACCATCATGGATAAAGGTAATCATTTCTACATTCTTTATGATAAGGCCGTTGACCATACAGTGTTTACAATGTGCAAATCCCACTGTTGCTGTGTCCACGCTAATGAGTGTGGCAGTTTCCTACAATATGATTGCTGCTTATAGAGATGTGATGGTAACCTGATCCTCCCTTTGTGCTTGGGCCCATTTGCCTACAGCTAAGTCTTCCTACACCAAAGGTCAAAAGAGACAGCACCTGGTGGTGTAACAAACTATAAAGAAAGTAGAATGATAGAAGTGTAACATAAAAATGAGTTGGGGAAAACAATCCATCTCTACGAAAACAAAACATTCGGTTTGCCAGGAATTTAATCACAGTGCTTTCCTGGGATCTGTAGGAAAAGGACGGACTAACAGTGTCAGTTTGAGTCCTGTGTAGGTCAGTATACGACTGACAGATGATATGTGCAGCATAAACAATAGAATAGAGGTTTATAATATGAGGCCTTTGGAGCCTGTAACTGCTGAAATACCTCTCAGTAAAATGCCACTAAGCAGCATTTCAGTATCACTACTAAGTTTCTAATAACATAAAAATGGCTTGTTTTGGTGTCCGATATGTAAATGAATGAATGTGTTACTTAAGCTGGACTTGTTGGAAAATGTTGTATAAAAATACATTTGGGATATTTTATGTGTTTTCTTGTTTAGTCCAATAAATGAGTACATTTGAAAAGCATTGTATTTTATGTCTGCACCTGCCAATAGGCTATCCCCATAAAAGTAGGTATAATAGCATATTATTCTACAACAGGAGAGACTTGATGTTCTATGCAATTAGGTAGAAAAGATATGTGCACATATCAGTATCAGCATCGGCAAACTGTCAAACTTGGAAAATCGGACATAGGCAAAATCCAATATCATGCACCTCTAAAAACCCAGTGTTATTTCTGTTCAAATCTGGCCTAACTTTCGCAGCCTTTAAGAAAACCTGGTCTAGGGCCAACCTGACCACTTACATTAAAGAACACAAAGCAGAGAAAAGAGTTTTTTAAAGAAACAAAAAGTCAGATTAACAAGCTGTGAAGTCCAGCAGCAAAATCGCCAGGGTAGTTAAAAATGAACATGAGGAAAGATAATGAGCAACCCATACACAGAACAACAAATGTAGTGCACGCCATGCTGCATTTACAGTGGATCACATTAAAAGGTCCAGAACTCTGAAATGTTATTACATATTTAAACAGAATTTGTGCTGGGTGATGCATTTTCATTTTTCACGGAGAGCAAGTAAAGTGAATAACTTTTTGCACGTGTACAGCAGCTCCTTTTTACTTATGAATCACATTTACTCATGAAATTATTGATGGCAACAATGACCAACTAACCAAATGCACTGACGTCTCATTTCAGTAACAACATTCAGATTTCAGAAGCCTGAAAGTTCGGAGTACCCTGTGTCACTCCCAGTGCACCTACCAACAGCAATATGAACATATAGCAAGACATACATTTACTGAATAAAATCTGTATAACAAAATTAAAATATAAATGGTCCCCTCATCCTTTAAAATAAAAACACTGCAAAAGATTGCCTGCTTTTCTATATACAAAAATAACTGATGCTCTTCCATTACTTCTTGGTGCTCTACATTATCACAGATCTTACTGCTTATCTAGACTTCTCTATATAGGATCCAATCCTATCTACATAATCTTATCTTTTTCTTACCCCAAAGCTTCATGCATCTTTAAAGACAATCGTTAGTCTTTGGCTGAGGCTAATTCAATTAGTATAACAGCTCAGATTAGACTGACAGGTAAAAGTAGCATGTGGGGGTCTTTTCTGATTAGTCTTTCTTTGCAGGGTCACCATTTAACCAATTAATATTCTGATTATTGCACCTGTCCAATGAATACATGATGGATCATGACGTGTGAATTTAGACGCAGCCAAAATGAGCTTGACATTTTTGTTCGTGTCGACAGTTGTCACGTATAGAGTATGGTTTTCTGTCCCTTTTGCCGGACTGTTTAGCATGACCTGTTGGTAAAACATATATAAACATCTTAGAAACGCTTCTTTATTATGCTATCTTCATCCGTTAAAGCCTGTTTCACAAACGAATGAAATTCCCACCCACATTTCTACATCATATTTCCACTACACTCCTTGTCCATGAGCCCATTTATAACCACATGAGGGTGGATTACTGATGTCTGTGATGTGGTTTTACATGATTCCATTGCTAATAAAGTGCTCCAAAACATAAGAAAACCATAGGAAATCATTAGTGCCACTGAGGAAATTTTAAAAAAGAAAGGAAGGAATATAAGTAATAGCACTATGTAAACACTAGAGGGTACTGTTACACATGTTTTTCCTTCATAGACTTGACTTCCCAGGTATGCATTTTCATTATTGAATTTCCCTTCTGGGATAAATAAAGTATTTTTCATTTCATTTCATGACAATGTGCCCCTTGCTGAGCTGCAGTGAATCCAGGCAGTACATATAAAGTGAAAACTTATGCGATGTCAAAGGAGTGGTACATGTAAGAGTAAAACCATGAATGTGAGTTAGATGTTGAAAAAAATATGTAAAAGCAGCATCTTTGTTTCTTTGTTCAGCTGGCAGAAAGAAAGAAAGAAAGAAAGAAAGAAAGAAACTTTGTTTTTCAACTCTCAATGTTAAGATTTCCTCTTAAACAATAAATATGAAAATGTATTAGACTCTGCCACACCTCAAATAAACTTGTTCCAACAAATGTCATGGTTAGTGTGTCTTGGTCTCTCTCTCCATCTGAGGCCTCTGTTCATAAACATAGCCCAATTAACTCCTCTCCCTGTGGCAGTAGGGATCTGTGTCGCTCCCATCTGGCCATTATAATTAATCTGTTTCTTCTCTCCACATCAGTCAGGTTCTCATGTTGGCCTCTCATCCCCTTCACACCTTCACTCTGCTGTTTTACTTTCTCCCTGACCTTTCTGACATCCTCATTAGTCCTCATCACCCACACAGCCCTCTCACATCTCATCTTCGAGTGCTCCTCCTGGCCCGCGTGGTTCTCGCTCGCTCCTTGACGATGACAGTGGGCAGGTCTTTCAAGGTGGTGATGGTGGTCTTTGTCCAGTAGTCCACCTCTTTGAAGATCCGGTACACCCAAAGCTTCAGTTCAAACAGAATGGTCGGCCCGTCTAACTGCCAAAGACAAGAGCACAGAATACGGAGCTGAGCCTCAATTTCTATCCGGCACTTTCACCTTCATCAATAACACCTCTGACCACATCAACACCTACCTCTAAACCCTCCGAGCTTGGAGTCGGGATGGCAGGGCCGTCAGCAGCTTTGAGGAGCTCTCCAGTGTTGATTATTAGAAGTGACAGCCTTTCCTTCACCGTTTTCTTCTGGTTGTCGTACTCACCCTTCCTCCCACCGCCCAGCTCCTCTTCCTCTTTAGCGATCGCCCTCTCCAGCAAGCTGCGGCACTGCAGCAAAGCAGAGTGGAGGCGCCACAACTTGTCTCTGGTGTCCAACTGGGAGGAAGGCGGAGGGACGGACACCAGACGACCGTCAGCCACATCAGAAGGGAAGTTCTCCATCTTCCTCTTGCGAATAGAAGAAAGAAAAAGGAGAACAAAAGGGAGATTTAGGATGACATTCATAAAAGAAAACAAGTAGAGGGAAGACGGGGGTGTTCGAAAGTGTAGGCCAACAGTGGAGGATTGAAGAAGGCTTTCCATCAAACCGCATTGACGTCACTTTGACAGCAATTTGGCAAATCATTGTCAATAAGGCAAAAGAGATTTCCTCTTAATACCTTAGGAATTTGCTCAGGCATTCACAGTACTTCTAAAGAGGAATCTGTGCTGAGCTGAGTTCCAGTAGGGATTTATTAAGTAAACACGTAAAAGGTTAAAATGAGCTTATTAAAATACCACAGAAGCAGAAACAAAATACTTTTTTCAGTGCAACACATACAACACCATATTGCATACTGGTGTTCTGTATGAAAATGTGTGGTGAAACATGACAGAACTTTCTTGGCATAGAAATATGCATATCTACTGCTTTCTTGGAGTTAACTTGGAAATATGGAGTTGTTGGAGCTGTTGCTATGAGCCACCCAGTCCTTGTACTACCAAAGTGAGAGCTGTGTTTATATTCTCCAAACAAAATCAAACAGGCTTCCGGTCGGTGTTGGACCCCACCAATGTTGCTCTTTGTCTCAAATCCTGTTCATAAGGTGCAGCCCGGATAAGGACGGTGTCTGTTTTGGGGACCACAGAGTTGCGCTCTGCTTTTTGCACATGACATAGTTCTGTTGACTTCTTCAGGCTGTGACTTTTAGCGTGCACTGGGGTGGTTTGACACCAGGTGTGAAGTGGCCTGGATGAAAATCAACACCTCCAAATCTGACTCATGGTTCTCTGTTGGAAATCATTGGATTGCTCCCTCTGGGTTGGGGGTGAGTTGCTGCTTCAAGTAACAGAGTTGAAGTATCTCGGCATGATATTCATGAGTGATGGGAACATGGAGCATGAGATATACAAACAGACATCAGCAGTAATGCGAGAGTTTTACCAGACTGTTGTGGTGACGAGGGAGCTGAGCCAGAAGGCAAAGCTCGTTATTGACAATCAATCTACATTGCAAGCCTCAACTATGGTTATGAGCTCTGGGTAGTGACTAAAATAAGGAACTCAAGAATACAAGTGGCAGATAGGGTGAATAATCAGACATCTGGAGTGAACTCAGAGCTGCTGTTCTTTTAAGCTGAAAGAAGCCAATTGAAGTGGTTCAGGCATTTTGTTAGGATGCCTCCTGGGCACATTCCTTTGGAAGTTTTTCAGGCATGTCCAGCTGGGTAGAGATCCCAGGGTAAACTCAGAACTCATTAGAGGGATTACATAGCCCATCTGGCCTGAAAACTCTTTAGGATCCCCAGGAAGAACTGGAAAACATAGATGAGGAGATGGACGTCTGGAATGACCTGCTTGACTTGTTGCCACAACCCAACCTCAGGGAAGCGGAAGAAAATGGATGGTTGGATGGATGGACATTTGAAATGATACCACTCTCGTATATTTACAATTAAAATAAATCTAACAGCCTGCAGGCTATTAGCTTATCTTAGCATAAAGACTGAATGCAGGGGGAAAGCTAGCCTAGCTAACCACAAATGTTTTATTTACACTTACGTCTTCATACAAATTCAACAATGTGCTGATTGGTGAACTTTAGACGATTTCCTTTCCATCTGAGAGAACCAGTCCCACTCTATCCCTGCTTCCAGCCTTTATGCTAAGCTAATAGTGTGCTGTCTCTAGCTTCATATTTGTGGTACAGATGAGAGATTCTCAGCATGAACGCGAATAATTAAACTTTCCAGTGTGTCAACCTACTGCTTTAACATCCATCCATCCATACACTCACATTCACACCTACAGACAATTTAGAATCACCAATTAACCTCAACATGTTTTTGGACTGTGTGGGAGGAAGCCGGAAAACCCGGAGAGAACCCACACTGCACGGGGAGAACATGCAAACTTCATGCAGAAAGATTCCAGTGCCCCCACCAGGACACGAACCAGCAACCTCCTTGTTGCAAGGCAACAGTGCTACCAACTGCGCCACCTTGCAGCCCTGCTTTAACATTAAAACCATATTATACCTGCAATAAACAGCATACAACAATACAGCACCTCTACACTCTCAGAGCCACCAGATAGAGTTCTGACAAACCTGACATTATGGTTTGGCTGATAATATTGTCAGATCACTTCACAGACATAACTGTAGCTGGCCTCAGCTTTAATACTTGTGTGAGTTGAGCATCCCAGAGGTCTCCTTGTGACATTATACTGAGGCGCTAATGTTGAACCCTGCGTGCAAATTGGTACAAGTCTGACAGAGAGGCCTGATGTGACCTGTACGCTCTGGAAGTCAGGGGGGGAAGTTAATGTTTACTGCTCAGACTGCAGAGGGAATGTTACTGAGGCAGTTATGGATACTACGGGAAGCAATTGTGCAGCCAGAAACAATATCCTCATGGTTCACTGTGAATTATGATAACGTGTTAAGCTCTAGAAATGATTTAAGAGGTATGAATCGGATGCTGTAAACAAGCTTTTCCCACCCAATGACAGATAGCCTGCCTGGCAATAATAATACTCCGCTTGACGAATATTCAATCTGCATTAGGTTCATTTAAAATTTATGTGCCAAAGACTGAACCAAGTTCTGTTTCAGAAACTGTTCCTGACAGCCCAGGAGAGAAACACAAAAATGCACAAAATGAACATAAATTTGTGTATGACAGATGAAGACATATCTAATTACTCCATGACGTGTTCCCTGGAGTGGTGTTGCAACTTCGGGGCTGCAGCGTTCCCTAAAGGAACCCACAAAGTCAGTGAGAGGTTTGCAGAGAAAACTGTGTCAGGAGGAGGAAAACTGAAGACTGACAGAGGCTGGAAAGGTCAAAATCCTGGGGGTGAGGTGGATGCGAAGCTACACCCCAGGCTGCTCCCTCGCTGCTGGCAAGACACATGAAAGGAAGGATGAGGCAGCGAACTGGCGGGAGACCAAGAAGTTTTAATGACCAGTAGCTCCTGCACCTTTAGGCAAAGAGAGGCAGACTGGTGGAAAAGACATGAAGAGTATGTGCCAGAAAAAACGCCCACCTCTGTCATTCCAACTGAGGTCATCCCCCTCCATTCTGCATTCCTACCCCCTGCTGCCAGAGACATAATTTATTTCTCTTTCACACACACACGCACACACTCTCCCTCCTTCTTATCATGCTTGTGCACGCATCCCTTTTATCATTCTGCCTCTCCCACTCTTTCTCTTTCTCACTTTTTGTCTCCGTGCGCCTCTGCAATACACACAAAGTTGCAGACATGCATGCACAGCAGACTCTCCAGACACAGAGAAAAATCTATTAATTTTCCATTTAACCTTGGCCTACTTCTCTCCCTCTCTCTTCCTCACGCTCACACACTCACACACACTCACACACACTTCTCTCAGTCTTCTGTCCTGAAATCACACTGTGACCTGCTGGCAGGTTGCAGCCAGTGGAAAAAAACAAAGCTTCTCTACTCACATAGAGCTCCAGGAGGATGGAGCATTCATGGTGCAGCTGCTCGGCTATAGCAGCAGCCCGGGCCGCCGTGGTTTTGGTCAGATCCGAGCCGGTCGCACGTCTGGTCCGCCTCTCTGCCATCGGAAGACTCGCTGTAAAGGCGCGCTTGGAGCTGGAGAACGTCAGGCCGGTGTCTAATATACGTCCGCCCGCCTCGTTCCGGTTCATCTCAGCCTGCCCTCCGGTTCCCCCTCACACACCGCTGCGTTTATTCAGAGCCAAGTCGTCTCTAGAGTTTCGGTAAAACGAGTTTCCCAGTTTGTCCCGACCTTGCCTGCTTACTGTTAGTTACTTGTGTTACAGAGTTTGCGGCCAACTCTCCGCCCTCTCCCCCGGGAACCTGATGCCAGGCAGCAGGAATTTAACGGGACGAGCGGGGGCGGAGAGCCGCGGACCGGAGGAGGGAGGAGCTCATCAACTTATTCATGAGGAGCTTATCTGATTTACCGGTAGTGACTGCAGCAGAGATGGTTTAAATTTAAGCAGGATGCAGCCTGGACTCAGTCAAACTGCCTCCGTATGTGCAGCCGCCCACTTATGGTGAGAAAGTTTACAAAAGTTTACAGCAGAACCACAGAATCCTGCAGTGTTGGTGGTGGAGGTTTGGGGTTGTGGGGAAACTTTTGGAGTTCTTTCAAGAACCTTTTTGTTGGTGTAGGAACGTGTTATGATGATGATGA